AACCCCATCTCTACTAAAAATACAAAAAATTAGCTGGGCATGGTGGTGTGTGCCTGTAATCCCAGCTACTCGGGAGGCTGAGGCAGGAGAATTGCCTGAACCCAGGAGGCCGAGGTTGCGGTGAGCCGAGATCATGCCATTGCACTCCAGCCTGGGTAACGAGAGTGAAACTCCCGTCTCAGAAAAAAAAAAATAAATAAGAAAAAAAAAAAAATATATATATATATATATATGTCTAGGGACCCTGGAAATTTTGTTTTGGAATATGAGTAAGCTGGTTCTATTTGATACAGGTAGGAATTTAATTGGGGAAAGGAAAATCCATTCCTTCAAAGACTTCTATAAGCTTATCTAATTGGTATATATGTTGCTCAAAAAAGCATGTGGGGCACAACACTACTGTAAGAAGCAGCTTTTTTTTTTTTTTTTTCTTTTTATTGCATTTTAGGTTTTGGGGTACATGTGCAGAGCGTGCAATACAGTTGCATAGGTACACACAGGGCAGTGTGTTTTGTTTGCTTTCTCCCCTTCACCCACATTTGGTATTTCTCCCCTGGCAATCCCTCCCCACCTCCCCCTCCCGCTGGCCCTCCCCTTTTCCCCCTATAGACCCCAGTGTTTAGTACTCCCCTCTCTGTGTCCGTGTGTTCTCATTTTTCATCACCCGCCTATGAGCGAGAATATGCGGTGTTTCATTTTCTGTTCTTGTGTCAGTTTGCTGAGAATGATGTTCTCCAGATTCATCCATGTCCCTACAAACGACACAAACTCATCATTTCTGATTGCTGCATAATATTCCATGGTGTATATGTGCCACATTTTCCCAATCCAGTCTATCATCGATAGGCATTTGGGTTGATTCCAGGTCTTTGCTGTTGTAAACAGTGCTGCAATGAACATTCGTGTGCATGTGTCCTTGTAGTAGAACGATTTATAGTCCTTTGGATATATACCCAGTAATGGGATTGCTGGGTCAAATGGGATTTCTATTTCTAAGGCCTTGAGGAATCGCCACACCGTCTTCCACAATGGTTGGACTAATTTACACTCCCACCAACAGTGTAAAAGTGTTCCTTTTTCTCCACATCCTCTCCAGCATCTGTTGTCTCCAGATTTTTTAATGATCGCCATTCTAACTGGCGTGAGATGGTATCTCAATGTGGTTTTGATTTGCATCTCTCTGATGACCAGTGACGATGAGCATTTTTTCATATGATTGTTGGCCTCATATATGTCTTCTTTCGTAAAGTGTCTGTTCATATCCTTTGCCCACTTTTGAATAATAGGTATAGTTCTTGCTGTGTTGCTCTTCTACTTCAAAACATGTACGTGGAGATATGCCCTGTGTCTGTGATAGAACTGTGGCTGAATGTTAGCTAGCCTCTTGGATGAATAAAGAAGATTTGAACAACTCATCAATTGGGTTTCTGTTTGGCTGTCAGTTATCTAAACCATTTTATGTTTTCTCCTGTTCATTGACACTAATTACATCTATTATTAAATATTTGACATGTATCAAAGGAGTCTCTGTGCCAGCCACTCTGCTACATGCCAGGAATGTTGGGGTATTATCCTTAGAGGGTTGAATGTGGGGGAAATGTGGGGCATCTTTCTCAAACCATTATGTTATAAATCTGAGGTCTGAAGGGCAAGACTTGGGTGCAGTGACTACTTCCTGAATTACTACTGTTTTCAAGGCACTGTGAAAGCATAATGAATGTCAAGTAGATGCTTATAAAATCCAGGGGCCACAGAGCCAGAACTCACAGTCCGTTCTGTTCTCAACAGAACTTCAGCATCTTCCTTAATAAGGGTCTATTAGTCAGTTCTTATACTGCTGTGAAGAAATGCCCAAGATTGGGTAATTTATAAAAGAAAGAGGTTTAATTGACTCACAGGGCCACATTGCTGTAGAGGACTTAGGAAACTTACAATCATGGCAGAAGCAAAGGAGAAACAGGCACCTTCTTCACAGGTGGCAAGATGGAGTGAGTGCAAGCAGGGAAAATGCCAGATACTTATAAAACCATCAGATCTCCTGAGACTCACTCATTCTCAGGAGAACAGCATGGTGATCCAATTACCTCCACCTGGTCCAGCCCTTGACACATGGGGATTATGGGGATTACAATTCAAGATGAGATTTGGGTGGGGACACAGTCAAACCATATCAAAGGGTGTGTTAACTCAGCTGACAAGCGCTCCGGCAACAAGATGCTTCTGATAATGGCAGTGAACATCATTCTGAGGCAGAAATCTGTTTATTCTCAGCCTGGTGGGGGAAAAGGAGGCCATGCCGCAACATAGGGCGCCCTGGCCCCAGCATAGAGAAGTTATATCAAAGTCTCTGGCATAGAAGAGGATTTGGAAGAGGAGACACAACGAAGAAAACAGTTGCAGGAAACATTCCAGATGTATTGGCCTTTAATTTGCAAGACTGTGGTTATTTTGTTATTTTTCCACTTTATAGAGACAAGTATTTTCCCTCTTAACAGAGTATGGAGGAGAGATGATAGAGAAATGGCCTGTCTTTACAAGTCACACCAAAAAACAGTGACTTCTTTTAAAACCTATTTTATCTTGGAAAACACACACTATAATGAAACTCTATTGCATTTCCCCACCATAGTTACAGAGGTGGGTGTGGCTGAGGCCGCTGAACATTTGATTGTGAGAAGTCCACACATCTGCATGTGAGCTGATATCCTTCCTGTCACTTGGTGCCAAGAGCATAACCTCTACGCTCTATAATGCGGTAGATCCAATAAACTTTTGACTTTCAAAATGGCCACTTTTTTTTTTAAATGAGTAGGCATATTGCTGATGAAAGCAACATTTAGTACAATTAGTTTGGAAAATTTTTGACAGTATGTACTAAAGTTGGATAAATATATATGATGATATGCTCCAGAAAACTTCCACCTAGGAATATATCCAACAGCAACATATGTGTATATTTACAGAAGGATGCATATCAGAATGTTCAGAGCAACATGCTCAAGGACCAAAAAGAGCCAATGGATTGAGTTTATTCTCACAATGGAATGCTGTATGGCAACAGAAGTAAACAAACCCCCAACTACGTGTAACAACATGGTTGGGTCCCAAAGACATAATGTTGAGTAGGGAAGCCAGACACAAGAGTTCACACTGTGCATACACTTCAAAATACAAGCAAACATGTTTCTAGGTGTCAGAGCAATGGTTATCTTTGGGGAGGTGGTAGCTGCAAAGACACACTAGGGGACATTTGGGGGAATAGCGATGTCGTTCTTCTGAAAATGGGTGCTATTAGGTTGGTGCATTGTAATTGTAGTTTTTGCCATTACTTTTAATTCCAAAACCACAGTTACTTTTGCACCAAACTAATAATTACATGGCTATATTAACTTCATGAAAATTCATAGAGTTGTATGCTTATGCTTTGTGCTCGTTTCTGTATGTGTGTTATATTTTTAAAAAATGAGTAAAAAGTGACTGTTAGTCCATAGGCCACTGTGAGATGTTTTGTAAAGCAAGAGTAGTCAGTATAAATCACTTAAATGTTTTTTGTTCTCAACCAATCAACAATTTAGTGAGCACCAGCCTTTGCCTGGCACTGTGGTAAACTTTAGAGAGAAATTAAAAAACCAAAAAGTAGAATATATGGGCCTTGCCCCAAGTGAGTGTAAAATCTAATTGGGGAGATAAACCAAATTAATCTATTAGAAAATTTCTTAGGATTATACAGAGTTGGAACAACGACTAGTATGCTTGGAAAAAAGTTAAGCCAGCAGTTCTGATTGGCTAACAAAAGCTCTTTTTCCCAGCTCAGAGTTAACACCTGCTTCCACTTCTGTTCCAGTTTCAATGGCACTTTCTGGGAAACCCTCTGTGATCTGCCCCTGTTCTATACTCCCATAATGTTCCAAAACAATGCTAGGTAGCCTGCATCACGATGAGTTGAATTAATCATATTCTATTTTGTTTATTGTACCGCTCTCCATGTGGCAGGGACAGTTCTGCTAATGGCTTTATCCCTGGGCCTAACTCATACTTAGAAAATTTTCTTGAATAAATAAGAGTGGAAAAAAAAGAGTTTAACATGAGCTGACATCGGGACTTTGTCTAAGTCGGACTTTGAATGATGCATAGGAAATGAATCAGTGTACAACATAAGGAAAATGAATACTAACTGAGCAAATGAGAATGTCTCAAGCTGTCTGCATGTGCACCTCCTTTTAATGATCACAATAACCCTATGATACTATTCATATGATTCCCATTTTACTTATCTCTCTTCAGTATTCAGAGAGGCTAAGTAATTTGTTCTGACTCACACAGTTAGTTAAGTAACCAAAATTAGAACCTAATACTTTGGTGCCTTTAAATGGCCTCTCAGGAAAAGAAAGGAGGCAGGCTTAGCATGTATAGGTGTGTTCAGCTGGGTCAATAGAACTCCCATGGTACCATATGAATCATTTGGTCCCTGAGAGAGCTTTTGGGTGGAAGCCATTTTGTTCCATTAAGCAAACAGTAGGACATTTTCACTTTGTTTTTAAAGAAAGCCAAAAGATTTCTCTACAGGCTAATCCATTTGACCATATAAATCCTGGACAATTGTTAAGGCTTAAAATAGTCTTGACAATATCTAAAAAGGAGAGGTTTGGGTGTAAAATCAATATAAGCAATCAAAGTGCATTTCACATATAAGATCTGGACAGACCTGCTGGGCGGAGAGGATTGGAGTGGCCAGAGTGATGGCTGATTCTGTCATGGAGGTAACCAGGCACTCTGAATCCTGCACTACTGAGCGTGCTGTCTGCTACCCTACCCCAAGCCCACCTGTGTGCTGCTGCCTGTGTTGCCAAGTACCTGGGTGTTTATGGTGCAACTAATGCCCATCAGCTCTCTAGTGTCTGGCAAATTAATATATCCACTTTGAAGTGTTTCATATCAGCTAAAAACCATAGAAAAATGAAGCTAGGAGGAAAAAACATATGAAACAATAAACACCTTAACATTATTTTATTTAGTCCTCTTCTCTGCAGATGATAAGTTTGAGGCTCAAAGATGTTATATCATCAACTTTTGTTGCCTAACAGAACACTCCAACCTCCGTAGCTTAAAATATGAACTGTTTTTTTAATGCTTTTGAGTCTGCAGGCCAGCTGGGGAATTCTTCTGATTTAATTCAGAGCTGGGTTCTGGGTTCATTCACGTATATGATGGCCAGCTGGTGAGTCAGTGGTGGTGGGCTGATCTAGGATGGCCTCACGCATGTGGCTGGCTGAAGGCTGGGGTGATCCTTCAGCAGGCTAACCTGGCTTGATCACAGACAGTGTGCGTGAGGTATCTGGAGGCCATCATGTCTACTGTATTCTGTTGAAAACTCAAATTACAAGGCCAGACTAAATTTAAAGAGAAGTGAACAGATGTTAACTCTTGATGACCAGGAAGAAAGGCCACATTGGCAAGGATGTGAGTACAGGGAGAGATGGAAACTTGGGGATAATTTTTTAAACAAGTCACCAAAGAAGTGAAATGGGGGGACTGGTTAAATGTCATTTGGGCTATCACAGCCAAAGACAAGGTCAACTCAATGTTCCAAGCTGTGCCAGGCCCTTGTGTTCTGGTTATGACTGAGGTCCTCTTCTGGGAATGCTGGCAATTTGGCACAGTGTTGGTGGCATTCAACGAGAATGGTTCACATGGTGTCTGTTTCTTCTTCATATTAGCAGGTTTGGACATTGAAGTTTAAAAAATCATTTCTTTACTAGGATGAGAAGCCATAATGAGAATGATTAGTAATCATATCTTTAGATCGAAAATAAAGGGGAAAATGCTTTGTTGCTTGAACTTAGAGGGATATGATAGTATGATAAACTGACAAGACAGGCTTTCTAGAAGTCTAGCTGTAAGGAGGCTCAGATAACTTCTCTTTCTACTGAGAGAGAAATCTGGCAGGTGATCCTGACTCAGTGACCTTGACATAGGGTCACTGAGTGACACTATCTGTACACGTGGTGGTACATGGTGCCTGACTTTCAATTTGTTTTCTGCTCAGGCTCCATTGAAATAGTTTCCATGAGGGGAATGAATAATCTGAACAAAAACTGAAATTTTTTCAACATTGAAGAGAGATACAGACTTTTGGTGCCTGAGAAGATGTGGCAGCTGCCAGCAGATGTATTAGTGGAATCTGGTAGAATGAGGAAGCATCCATTACATGCCTGGGACAGACTCTGAGGTGTCTTGATATGTTTCTGTCTAAACAGCTGGTGGCCATGGCTGATAAAATTAGATTATTTCTCTCGTTGCAACTCTCCTTTTGTGACAAGAAGGGAAACTCAGTTTCTGTTGCCATGCACCTAAATCTAGAAGTAGTAGATGTTGTCAGTATCCCCCATAATCCATCTTCTCAGTCAACTTTGGATGTCATCACAGGCTTGGGGGATAATTCCTGCACACTTTCTTGCTACTTTAAGTTCCTGAGTCCCTCTGCCTGATGGGTTTCTGTGGCAATGTGGACTTGCTTCACACAAAGAAGCAAGCCATAGTTTCTTTGGAGTTGACACACCAATAAACCACCCTCATTAAAAGAGAACTATTATTAAAAAGTAGTGGCAAATTGCTTAAACCTTCTCTTCTCTTAGTTGGGACACTTGGAAAGTGTGTTCTACATACCTTCCTCAGGGCATCTCCAGCAGATTTGAGCATCAGTTTCTCAGAGTGGTAACCAGCTCATTAATCATCCTGTATTCACCTTCTTTTTTCCACTATTTCTCTGTAGTTCTCTTTTGGTGCACTTCCTGAGGTTGCCTCCATAGTGTACCTCTTTCACCACATCATTGTCTCAAGTCTACAAAAGAGCACAACAACCACTTACAGAGTGTCACTGATCATCCAGCTGCCAAACTCAAATGTTACACCTTGGTCACATTCTGTGGGACCATCTGAGGCTTGTGACATGGCTGACCTTTTCTCCTGGTGGACTACTTTCTCTGAGCCAGTGGGATATGACCTCAGTTCTTGTAGCAAGTCTCGGATCCTTCACTTTAGACTCTTCTTTTTGTCACTTGCTTTTTCTAATGCAGGCAGCCCTTCAAGAATGGGTTGTCATTTGCTTTTCTTCTCTTTACTTTCTCCGTTGATGACTTTAGTTTTTAATTAACTTTTACTGCCATATATATCTGGATGCACCCCGAATTTGTCACTGACCTCAGGTCTGCAAGTTCCAAGGTCTCTCCCAAATAACAATCCCAAATTACTAGATCAGTCCTGTTCAATAAAAAACTTGCAATGATGAAAAACTCTCAGATCTGTGCTGTTTAAATGGTAGACAGCAGCCACATATGGCTACTTAGCACTTGAAATGTAGCAAACGAGGTGGAGACTTTGACTTTTTAACTTACTTAGCTTTAATTTATAATTATATCTAAATAGTCGCATGCGGCTACCTTATTACACAGCACAGTTTTTCACAATTCTAGTTGCCTGCGGGGTGTGTCTTTTTATAATTGTATCTCTTTAATTCTGTTTTCTCATTGGTAAGATAAGAAGATAGATCAATTCACTCTTTGAATTATTCAAATGGAATTTAGACAGAAGCCCCACATACAAAATATAAATGTATAATAAAAACCTAAAAATAAAAAAAACCTAGGAACAAAAAAAAGATTTTTTTATATCTAAAAGGTATCAAAATACTCTCTACAGGTATGGTTATTAAAGAGCACTTGAGCAGTAACAATAAAATAAATGGAAGGAATTAAAGTTTAGAAACAGACTCATAAATATATACAAATTTGGTATATGAAAAAGGTAGTATTTTAGAACAGTAAGAACAGTATAAATAGTATTAGGACCACTGGATATCCCTTTGATTAAAAAAAAGGTGAATTTCAAATTACACATAGTAAACTTCAGATTGATTTAATAGATAGATAAAAATTAAAGACTTAAGTGTAAAATCCAAAACTAGAGAAACCCTGGAAATAACCTAGGTAATATCATTCAGCACATAGGCACAGGCAAAGAGTTTGTGATGAAGACACCAAAAGCAACTTCAACAAAAGCAAAAATTGACAAGTGGAATCTGAATAAACTAAAAAGAATCTGCATAGCAAAAGAAGCAATCAACAGAGTGTACAGACAACCTACAGAATGGGAGAAAAAAATTGCAAACGATATATCTGAAAAGGTCTAGTATCCAGCATCTATAAGGAACTTAAACAAATCTACAAGAAAAATAACAAAACAACACCATTAAAAAGTGGGCAAAGGACATAAACGGATGCTTTTCAAAAGAAGACATACATGTGACCAAATATAAGAAAGCAAAGTTCAACATCAATGATCACTAGAGAAATTCAAATTAAAACCACAATGAGATACCATCTCACACCAGTTAGAATGGCTATTTCTAAAAAATAAAAAAACAGCTGCTGGCAAAATTGCAGAGAAAAAGGAACACTTATATGCTGCTGGTGGGAATGTAAATTAGTTCAACCATTTTGGAAAGCAGCATTGCAACTTCTCAGAGACCTAAAGGCAGAACTACCATTCAACCCAGCAATCCCATTACTGGGCATGTACTCAAAGGAATATAAATCATTCTGTTATAAAACACATGCACATGTATGTTCATTGCAGCACTTTTCACATAACCAAGACATAGAATCAACCTTAATGCCCAGCAATGATAGTATGGATAAAGAAAGTAGGGTACATATTCACCATGGAATAGTACGCAGCCATAAAAATGGAAGAGATAATGTCATGTGCAGGAACGTAGGATGGAGCTGGAGATCATTATCCTTAGCAAACTAATGCAAGAACAGAAAACCAAATACTACCTGCTCCCACTTATAACTGGGAGGTAAATGATGAGAACACACAGACACATAGAGGGGAACAACACACACTGGGGCCTACCTGAGGGTGGATGGTGGGAGGAGCGAGAAGTTCAGCAAAACTAACTAATGGGCACTAGGCTTAATACCTGGGTGATGAAATAATCTGTACAACAAACCCCATGACATGAGTTTACTCACTTAAAAAACCTGCACTTGTACCCCTCAATTGAAAAAGTTAAAACATGACATCAACATAATTAAAAGATAAATATAAAAGAATGCTTTTGTAGTTGTAAATGGGGGAACAGTTTTTAAAAATCAGTAAGTCAGAGGCAACATTTCAGTTTAAAATTGGGCAAGTCAACCAGTTCAGTCCTGTTTTCCATCCACTCTCAGCAGGCAGTGAGCATTCCAGGTCAAATCTCTACTCTTTTGGAGCTGACATTCTGCTGGGTGAGATGAACAATTACTTCTTTATGGTGACCTACCTTAGGTGACCAAGGATTCCCATCTATGCCTGTTGTTCTGGCATGATTATTGATAGTGTCTGTCTTTACTTTCAGCAGGGTCCCAGTGAAATGATACATTATGTGGTTCCATACTTAGAAGGCATCAGGGTGTTAGGGGCTCTAGTTAAGAGGACTTTAAGCTTCTTACTCCAACTATCATAAGAGCAGCTTTACTTCATCTATCTTTCCTTTTTGCTGTAACAAGGGTTTTTCACTTTTGAATGAGCATAATTAATATATCAGCATATTTTCCTAGTCAATTAAAAATATACAAACATATGTAATAAACTACAAAAAGCCCTACAAGTCCTTTAATAAGCCCAGACCCCTTCTCAGATGTATTCTCTGTCCACTCATATTCCTCTATTACTTCTGTTTTTAAATATATGTATGTATATGTTCTGTGTCTAATTTATAATAATTTTTATATTTTTAAATAAGTAATGTCATAATGTAGTGTAATATGGTACAAAATATTAGTATGAGGCAATATCAGAACAATTGAATTCTTGTTTTCATTTTATATGTGTTAGAGATCTTTCAGCATAAGTAATTTAGGTTTATATTTTTGTTTTCAATGACTGCAGAGTTTTCCACAGTAGAAATGGTGTGGTAGGTAGCATAATGGACCCCAAGGATGTCCCCGGATCTGTGAATATGTTAACTTACATGGCAGAAAAGACTCTGAAGATGTGATTAAGGGTGTAAATCTTGGGGCTTGAGATGGGAAGTTTGTTCTGGATTATGTGGCTGGGCCCAATCTAAGCACAGGAGTCCTTATTAGTGGAAGAGGAGAGGACATAGATGGGTCAGGGAGATGTAACACAGGAAGGACCCAACCTGCCCCTTGCTGGCTGTGAGGATGGAAAAGAGGCTAGAAGCCAAGGACTGTGTCAGCCTCTGGAATCTGAGAACAGCCTTCAGATTATAGCCAGAAGAAAAATCAAGACCTCAGGCCTACAATTTAAAGGAATCGAATTCTGCCCACAAATGAAAAGAGCAGAAAACTGTCTTCTAAAACCACCATAAAGGAACACAACTTGCTGCCATCTAAATTTTGGCCTTGAGCTCAGGTAGGACTTCTCTGATCTATACAACTATAGGATAATAACTTTGTGTTATTCAAAGTCTCTAAGTTTGTCGTACTTTGTATGGCAGCAATAGAAAACTAATACAGATGGTAAGCCGTAAGCCATAACGTATCCCATCTATTGATAGACAATAAAGTTATTTCCAATTTTCTTCTATTACAATGTTGAAAATGAACTTGCTTCTCCATTCATCTTTAGGCATATGTGCCAGTAATTGATTAGAATACATTCCTCCATAATGAAACTTTTTTATCAGAGAATAGAAACAGAGGTTTTTCTAAGATTGTCACATTTTCTCATAAATGTCATTACCAGTTTACACTCCTGTGAACAATGTATTAGTCTGTCATTTGCCTCTTCTTTCACCTTCCTGAGAACTGGATATTATTATCCTTGTTATTTTTTGCCAGGTTGTTGAATGAAAATGTTTTCTTCTGAGTTTGGATTCCCCTGGTTACTAGTGAGATTAAACATTTTTTGTATTGTTACTAACCCTTGGCGAATATTTCGTAAATTGTCCATTTCAAGTTCTTCAAGTTCCACTGTGTAAATCAGCTGCTTTTAATGCCTTTTGAAGTGAAGCCGATGATCAGTGAATCCCCCAGTATCACAGGGCTGAAGTCTGGACTCATGTTTCACTCCTCCTTCCCTGTTAACACCCAAGATTGGTCCACATCTCAAGGTGTTGCTCCTTTCTAGTTCTTCTGCTGCCTTCTAATTACTCACATCCTATGGCTCTCACTGCCCCTCAGTCCTCTCCTACCGTCCAAGTCCCCTTCTTAAATGGAAATTCTGATCTTACTGATCCTAAGCTCAGAAGCCTTAACAGTGGCTGTCCAGTGTATCCGGAGACACATAGTTTCCCAGGTTGATTGGCCTTGAAGTCTCCGTGGTGTGACCCCAGCTGCCTTCTCTCATACCTCTTCACTTTAATGTTTCTAGTTCCCAGAGCACCCTTTCACTTTCTTAGGCCTCTGATTTTGTTATTGCCTAAGTAGTGAATGCCCTTTATCTCCGTTTTTAACCACTCAAAATCTTTTTGTATTTTCAAAGTATGTTTCAAAATTCCTCCTCATATAGGAGTTTGTTTTTTTCCACCATATAGTATTAAAACTTTCTAACATACAGAAAATTTGAAAGAATTGTATAGCAAATGCCCATATATCCCACTTAGTTTCTACCAACAATACTATACTTTTGGTGTTTAAGCCATGAAATCCTTGCCTATGCCTATGTCCTGAATGGTTTTGCCTAGGTTTTCTTCTAGGGTTTTTATGGTGTTAGTTCTTACGTTTAGATCTTTAATCCATCTGGAGTTAATTTTAGTGTAAGGTGTCAGGAAGGGGTCCAGTTTCTGCTTTCTGCACATGGCTAGACAGTTTTCCAAACACTGTTTATTAAACAGTGAATCAATTCCCCATTGCTTGTTTTTCTCAGGTTTGTCAAAGATCAGATGATTGTAGATGTGTGGTGTTGTTAAAACACCAAAAGCAATGGCAACAAAAGCCAAAATAGACAAATGGGATCTAATTAAACTCCGAAGCATCTGTACAGCAAAGGAAACAATCGTTAAAGTGAACCAGCAACCAATGGAATGGGAAAAAATTTTTGCAATCTACCCATCCGACAAAGGGCTAATATCCAGAATCTACAAAGAACTAAAATAGATTTGTAAGAAAAAAACAAGCCTATTCAAAAGTGGGCAAAGGATATGAACAGACACTTTACAAAAGAAGACATACATGAGGCCAAGAAACATATGAAAAAATGCTCATCATCACTGGTCATTATAGAAATGCAAATCAAAACCACATTGAGATACCATCTCATACCAGTTAGAATGGCAAGCATTAAAAAATCTGGAGACAACAGATGCTGGAGAGGATGTGGAGAAATAGGAACGCTTTTACATTGCTGGTGGGAGTACAAATTAGTGCAACCATTGTGGAAGACAGTGTGGCGATTCCTCAAGGACCTAGAAATAGAAATACCATTTGACCC